CAAGGGGCAAAGGAAGAGTTTGCCTGCAGGGAGGACCAGTAGCGGGGGAGCTTGTGGAAATACTCTTGGCATCAAGTGGAGCAGGTTGCTACATTACGTGACAGTTTAGCCTGCTGTCCTCCGCCTGGGTCCAGTCCAGGAAACCCATTTATATACTCCTCCATTTATATACGCTAAGTATATAAATTGAAGGGATTTAATCCAGGGGATTGCTTACACAGATGATGATAGAGCTGAGAAACTGCACCGGCAACCGGTTATCTAGAGAAGAGCAGCAAGAAGCCATGCTGCCTACAGGCCAGAAGGGCCAGGGGAGGAGGCAGGGTCATTAGAGCCCAGGGCTGAGTTTACATGGCAAAAGCTAGAACTGTGGAGGGGACACAGCCATTGCAAGAGATGCTTCAGAGAACAGAGAGAGGGAGGGAGAAATACCTTAGCTTCTCCCTACCAGAGGGAAGGGCCAGGAATGGATCTTAACAGCAAACAGGCACTGGACCAGCACCCTGGTCTTGAAGAAATGAACCCGAGGATAGTTGCTCTGAGAGAAACAGTGACACCTCCTAGTAACTTTGCTTTTTCTCAGTCCACCTCTCTCTCTTAAAGTAAAGACTTGTTTGGAGGTTTTCGTTGCTGCCTAGCAGGTTGGTATGGAGGAGGGTAGCATATATCTGGAGATTGTCACCTTCCCTTAGTTTATGATGAAATATACTAGCAGAGCCCTGGTAAAGGAGCAGTCAGTTAAAACTGAGAGGGCTTTACACACTCAGCCACATCGCCCATGGCACCTCATTGCTCAGCGGTGCTGCCGAGCCGGCCCCATGGGGTGCTCATATTGCTATACATGACTCTGCCTTCGTGCAGCTGGACAGTGCTGGACAGAGCCTTGATCTGCCGGGCTTTCTCGTAGTGACCTGCTCAGTTTCCTCTTGAATCATTCCTAATTCCTACCATAGAAAGAGAAGTCTAATTTCTTCATAGCCAGAGAAAAAGGAATTTATGAGGTTGAATAGAAATAGATGCTCATTTGGCAAGTGTCCCTTAGTAGGCAGAACCTCAAGAAGGCTGGACTCGTGGTATTTAGTGAGCAGTTCCACTCATGTCTCTCCAGAAGTCAGCTTTTATTAATCTTGAGTCCAAAAGATGGGTTTTGTTTTCCTTTCATTTATTTTTCTTTTTTAGTTTGTCTCTCTCTCTGCTTGTCTGGCTCTGGCTTTGTCTCTCTCTGTCCTTTTCTTTCTCTGAAGCTCTCTGCCTCTGTTTTCTCATAGACATTAGTGGTGTGCAGTGTTTGCAGCAATAAATAAAAGCAGAAAACTGATTCAGAGCCTAAATCGATTCACTTAGGAATGCAGACCAGCTAGGAAAAGAAACAGAACATGTCCTAGGACGAGAGAGTGATCCTAAACCTCTTTGTGAATATAGGAACACCTGAGCCTCCCATGATTCAAAACTGCTATTACCTCTTTCTTACAAATGAATCTTAGGTCCAGGTTTCACAGCAGAACCAGCTTTGCTGCTATTAAATGGCCACAGGAGAGCTGCTTCCACCTCTTAAATCGATGATCTTGGCCTTGATGTGGTCATGATTCTGCCTCTGATGACACACAAATGAAAGCCACCAAGGCCCAGGAAATAAATGTCTCGCTCTTATATTGTGGCAGAAGACAGCCACCGACTGGTTTCCGCTGAGTCTGTCCAAGCATACAGAGTACTTGCGCAGTTACTTGTGCTCTGTTGGTCAGCAGGGTATATGCTCTTTGTTTTGTCACAGGGGTTGGAAGAAGAGGACTTGGAAAGTGGAGATGTGGGAAGAAGCCAGCCAATTTCTATAGCAGAATGATCTTCACTCTTTGGAATGTCATTGATGTTAGAGCTCTCAGGTTCCAGACTCACGGACACTGTTTGGCTTTATTTACCTCCTTTTGTATCATGAGCAGGGTTTATGAACTAGGGATAGCAGAATTCCCTGCTATAGGAAAAGCAAGGAGGTAAGGGATCAGAATCTGACTGAAGCGTCTTATTCACCAACAGGTCTATGACATCGCGTTTAGCCGGGCTGGGGGTGGCAGGGACATGTTTGCCTCTGTGGGCGCTGATGGCTCAGTGCGGATGTTTGACCTCCGCCATCTAGAACACAGCACCATCATTTATGAAGACCCACAGCATCACCCACTGCTTCGCCTCTGCTGGAACAAGCAGGACCCTAACTACCTGGCCACCATGGCCATGGATGGAATGGAGGTGAGCACCCCACTGCTACCTAACTCCAGCACTGCTTAGTACATCTAGAACAGTGGTTCTCACCTGGTGGCTGTGTTCTCCCTGGTGGATCTTTGGAGACAGTTTTGGTGATCCCAACTCGGGGAGGGGGGCGGTGCTACTGGTATCCAGTGAGCAGAGGCCAGGGATCCTTCTGAACATCTTACAGTGCACAGGACAGCTTCCCACAAAGAATTATCCAACCCAAAATGTCAATAGTCCTGAGATTGAGAAAACCAAGGACAATGTGTTAAGAACTTTTAATGCTTGGAGAGTTGGAGTCAGAGCCAAGAAAAGCAGTATCTAAAAAGTAAACCAAGTCTTATGCACTGATGCTGCTGAGTGAAGAGACAGGCAGTTTCCCCCTTCTGTAGCTGAGACAGATTCTTCCAGCTTCAGCAAACTGACATGAAAGTGGCAGCTCTCTGTAGCCTCTTACTGGATAAAAGCAGTAAGTTGTAGGTAGAGATGATGCAGTGATTAACTTGATTTTGGGGAAGCCAGCACCTCAGATTCCTTACATTCCAAACTCTGCTTTGGGGATAGGGTAGGGTCTCATTCTGTCCCACTGAGCACGCACAGAATCTCAGCACATGCACCTAACGGGACTTGGTGCATTATCCAAATTCATGTTACCTGCTTCTGCACCTCCCCTTCCTTAGCAGTCTAAAGACCTTGTGTTGCTTTAGGTACAGACTATAAACTACCTATGTCTTCTTGGTTTTCTTTTTTCTCAACCCAGTAGCTATTTTTGGGACAGGGACCCTCTGTATCAAATAGTCTTTAAATCCACAAATGAAGAAGTTGTGCTTTAAAAAAATTTTTTTTTCTTGTGTAGTGTCTTTTTCTTTTTTTTTTTTTTCTGCCACACCTTGATATTCCTGGGCCTTTTACTTGTTATTTCTGCAGGTAGTGATTCTGGATGTCCGAGTTCCCTGCACACCTGTCGCAAGGTTAAACAACCACCGAGCATGTGTCAATGGCATTGCTTGGGCCCCACATTCATCCTGCCACATCTGTACTGCAGGTAATCATGGTGGGGGGAAGGGGGCAGCCTGGGGAGTTGTAATCCTTACTATTTTCCAAGGATATTTTAAGAGATTTACATAAAGTAACTCAATTGTGAGAGCCTCCACCACTTGTGGAATTGAAGCCGTCCAAATTTCCAGAGGATCTTTGACCCTCTGTGATATCAGAGCCCCTTCCATATACTATTTACGTCATGTATCAGTTGTGGGCTTGTGTCTCATACTGTCCCCCTAGAAACCTAGGCTGACTGACATAGGACTCAGGAACATGGAGAAGAGGTCCAGTCTCTCTTAGATGTAACAGAATCTTTGGGACTGCCAAGATTGACATCTCCCTTGGGATATAGTGAACTTGCAGTGAGCTCTGGATGTTTTGAAGGGCCCTGTATAGCCTGGCCTGGTCTATGGTGTGTGATTTGTATCTTTCATTTCTCCATTTGCCTGCTCAAAAAGAATACTCCTTAAAAATATGCTGGCTGTTCGTGTACTTTTATTCCAGAAATAATGTCTCATTAAAAATTAAAACTACAATTATATAAAATAGGAAGGTGAAAGTCATCTTTTCTCCTTCCTTTCTATCCCATGTCCACCTCAGTCCCACTCTCCATAGGTGACCTCTAACAATAGTGTGTGTGTCTCATCCCAGACCTTTTTACGTGGGTATACGCATACACATGCAGCCCAGTGTGAATGTCTGTCCCTTTGTTTGACACAGGTGGGCTTCTGCTCCAGCCCCATAGTATTCTTCTCCTTTTTCAGTGCCTTGGTTTCTTTCTAACATACTTTTTCCTCTCCTCACTAGTCAGTACTATCTTTATATTTTGTTCATTGTGGAGCCAGAGGAGCAATATAGCTTTGTGGGGTTTTTTGCCATTTTAGCAATACTTTTAAAGGTTTGTGAAGCTTTTCCTGTTTTTGGCCTTTGCTCATGCCTGTGCTTCTCACTGAGGAGCAGTTAGGGGCCTGCTGCTTTCCTCTACACGTTACTTAGGTTATGGTCTGACTTCTTTGTCATCACCCTCTTTTTCCCCAGGGTTGTGGGTAAGGAGGGGCGGGAGAAGGGAAAAAAATGAAGGTGTTGTCTACTGTTTGTGGGGAACAGGAGCAGCCCCCACCCGCAGCAAAAGGCCATCATCTGCTCCTGGCATTGCCTCTGCCTGGCTCACTGCTGCTGCGTGGGTTGCACCTGTGTGGAGTCCTTTTGGTTGAAGGAGCTGTTGCTGAAGAGCTGGTTGAGCCCTGAGGCCAAGGAACTTGGTGCTTTAGAGATGCTGCGTGTTTAAAATGGCTCCCCAGTTCTCTTGACACAGATCATTACCAGGAGGGCATCTCGCACCTCGCCCAGGTTGTGCGGCCGTGGCAGGAGGCCAGTGCTGACTGCATGAGCCTGGACAATTAGGGTTTAGTTTATTCAGATTCCCTGTGTGTTAGAGACAGGCTGCCACATCAGGATGGGCAGGTGGGATTATTAATGATATTAAAGGTCCTTGCCTTTTTTTCATCTCTTAAATTAAGAACTTATTATTTTGATTTTAAGAATAATATGGCCACATTATAGATCACTTAGGAACTAGAGAAAGGTAAACCTAACTCATAACCTTACCATCCTAATAGTACTGCTATTCTCATTTTGATGTGTTTCCTTCTAGTCATTTCTCGTGTGCTTGTATATTTATTTAAGCTGATTGCCTTCTTCTTGGTGTTTCCCAGATCCCTTTTTTTTGGAAAATTGTTTTTAATACCACATGTCCATTCACATAGCACTTTATCTCCTTATCTGTATAACACCTCAGTGAAGTATAAATGTCCATAAAATGGGGGAAAATTCCATTAATTTGAATCATCAAAAAGGGTTCTTTAGTCATTCAAGTACTTTAAGTAGCTGAAAATGTCATATTTTGGGATCAAATTTATCCCATCCCATTGTCCTTTCCTGGTCCCTACCCATCTAAGATGAGAGGTGTCCATCTAGGTTTTGTTCTGCTGTCCTAGCTGTGCTGCAGTGAATGGAGCCCTGGGACGTCCAGAGGCCTCACTTTGAGTCTCGGCTCTGCCACTCGCTGGCTGCTTAGCTCTATGGTTTGGGGCAAGTACTTTAACATTTCTGAATCTGTTTCCTCATCTATAAAATGCGGGTTTAAGATAAAGTCTCTCTCATTGGGGTTTTGGTGAGCAAATGTTTTGTAAACTGTGGCTACTACCACCTCCGCCACCAAATGCAGGAATCATTGTACTCATTGCTGGAGATTTGACCTTGCTTGCTGGCTTTCTTTGTCCCTAGCGGATGACCATCAGGCTCTCATCTGGGACATCCAACAAATGCCCCGGGCCATCGAGGACCCTATCCTGGCCTACACAGCCGAAGGAGAGATCAACAACGTGCAGTGGGCCTCGACTCAGCCTGACTGGATTGCCATCTGCTATAACAACTGCCTGGAGATACTCAGAGTGTAGTGTTTGTGGCGCCATGCCCACGAGGCAGGGGCTTGTGTGTTTCCCGCCTCTGCCCACCCCCAAAGTAAGAAGAAACATGTTTCCGGTGGCCAGTATGTCTTTCATTGCTTTGCACCCACTGTTACCAGAAGCTGCTCTAGGAGTACCTGGCCAGTCACCCCATCACTCTCTGTGCCGGACTCAGTGCTGTGTGGCGCCTCCTCAGCCTAGGGCTGAGTTTTAAGATTTTTCTCTCCTTTCCTCTTCTCTTTTGGTTTCTCAATTAAAATTTTCTGTTTATTTCTTCGTCAGCCGTTGTGTTAATGAGCATTACAGGCACTGGCTGTGTTTGTATTCATCTGCTCCAGATGTCTGTCTGTCTGCTGCCCAAGGCAGCAATCTGTGTCCATGTTCATGTTAGCACTTAAGTGGGAACAAATGCCAATTTGAAGTTGTCTTTCCTCCTATTATCAATGTCTATAACAAATTTCAACTTTGTATATTTTTTATCTATCAGGCTAATTTTTTTATGAAAAGAATTTTACTCCCTGGTTTCTTCCTTTGTTTCATAGCCCTCCCTGTCAGCACCTTCCTCTGCCTTTGACCCCATGAGCAGTTTGCCTTCTTGAATCACTGCCTGAGCAGAACGTACCTGACCGGGAGTTCCAAACCACCCTGGTGCTCTGAAGTCGGCCAGCTCTCACACCTTTGCTCAGCCTGGCTCTTCTCAGGGGCATTCTGGGCTTCACAATAGCCATGTGAAGCCTTCTGATACTCCCTGAAGTACTTCTCTCCAACCCCACTGGGACCTATTGGGAACGTGCTGGAGCTGAGATAGACAGGCTGATGGGGGTACCTGACTTGAGGGGCATAGTTTCAGGAAAGCTGAGCTTAGAATATATTTCCAGTACATGGTTTCAGAGTCTGTTTTTCCCTCCAAATGTAAGCCTCAGGCCATTCTCTTTCATGTCTTAAATGATAGGTAAGAATGATCTATAAGCCAGAATTCAGTATCTCTTTGTTTAGTTTACTGTGACTGGTGGTATATCAGCCACTCTTGTCGACTGAGTGCTCTGAGGTGAGGGACTCCTGCTTGAGAGGCACACAATCTGTGCATCTAACCCTGAACAAGATCCCCTTGAGTGTGGGGGACTGTCAGCTCTTCTTAAGGGAGGGACTGATAGGTTGTGATGACCCCAGGTCATCAAGTAAAAATAGCTACAAAAGAATCAGAGATCCCAGGGTCAGCCAGGTAAGAGCTCTGCACACACCTGTCAACTGCCCCACCCCCACTTTAGGTTCTGAGCAATATTGGACTTGTAGGCTGCAGGTGTCTTGTTTCCGTTACGTAAATGAGTTCCATGGAGGGGACTTGTGTGCGATTCTGGTGATAGATGAGTTCTTGGGCAGGGTGAGTTTGAGACATGCTGAGTCCACGCAGGAGTTTGCCTGGTTCATCATGCTCTGCCAAGCGCCTGAAGGTCTCTGAGACCCTCTGAGTTGTGAATCTGAGTAGGAGAGTAGCAGCATCAAGGCACGTGGTTTTGTCCACTTAGGCTCTCACCTGCTCTTGAGAAACAAAACAGTTAGCTTTGCTCTTCTGAGCCCTTTAGCTCACTTGGTTGAGTCTTCCTTTTCAGAAGCAGATGTATTTGTATCCCCAAAGTCATAGCTCGGCTTTACTACACAGGGGCTTGTCCCAAAGCAAATGGCTCTTTTTTTAGTTAGGGTATTTTCTCTTTTTACCTTTTTACTTTTTTTATTCTGATTTGGGGGCTCTTTGGCCATCTGCCAAAGGTTTACCCTCTTGCATTTTCCACCAGATTTGCCCTATGTCATTTGGAGATATAAAGTGAGCAGTTCTTGGTCCAAACCCTCTTCTGCTTGTAATTGTGTTGGATGGTTCAGGGTGCTTCTCTCAAGGGTAGCACGTCTACATTGATGGTTGCTTGCTCTAGGAGGCCATCAGTTCCTTCCTGTGGAACAAGGTCTGAAGTGGAGGGCAGAGGGGCAGAGCTTAACTATACTGAGTTCTGAATTCAGGTTCCTTTCCTGATCTGCACTTAAACCTAGTCTGAATGATGAGAAGATTAATCAATTGGAACTCAAAAACAACATGAAAAAAATGAGTTAATAGTAATTAGAATATATTTAGGTAAAGTTGCTATTTACTCTGGAAACCAACAACTTTTGATTTATTTTTTTCCTTGCCCCGTGGACTCCCAGCCCTGTCACCCTCCCTAGGCCATACAGTGCAGTCCTCCTCCTGACATCCCACTTGGGGCCCAGGTGGGACGCCCAGTCTCCCTGAACAAACACACACACACACTCACAGTTGTTGGGATGCTGGTGTTTGGAGGTCCCAGCTTGTACTCTCTCTTTCTGCCACAGGCCAGATGGCCTCATGGCTGAGGAAGGGATTTCTGTAGTTTCTGGATTCGGGAAGGCTCTTAGTCAGCCGTGTCCTGAAAGCAGAGTCTGTTGTAGTTTGAAGAGCAGCCAGAGAGCATGGATGGGAGGTTCTGGATCGGCTTTCCATGAGTGTGAGAAGAGCAGCTGCTGAGAATTCACTGGTAAGGCCGTAAGGCCACAGTGGCACCGCTAGGCTTGGCTTGGCTGGTGGTGGCCGTTTGCTGTGCTCTTGGCCTCCTGAACTGAAGCTGCCTTTTCCTTGTCTGCTCTGAGGGGAAGGGGAGGGAGGTGTTGAACAAATTAGGCCTCAGGCTCCACATGAGAGAGCTGGCGAATGGGTACGAGCCCTTCGAGAGCTTGAGTGCTTACACTTAGAAGAGTCGGAAGCCTCTCCATCCAGAGAGGGATCCGACTGCAAGGTGAGGATTCGAAGGGGGAAGATATTTGACAACTTGGTGAGAATTTCTTACCAGACCCAGGATCGGATCTCAGAGAACTGGTTAAGATTTGGGAAGAAAAAGAAAAAAATTGAGACTACTACAAGGTTTTAATGATAGTTGTGGTTGAAATTTTAGAAGGGGATTTAGGATGTGGGAGAAAATCAATGGTAAATATTTCTTGAGATCAAAAGAGAAAATATCAGAGGGTAGTAATGGCCTGAGGTGGGGAAGCATTCAGGCTGTCTGCCGTGTGGCCATGGAGTGAGACTGTGCCCTTGGCCTGTGTCAGTCTTCCTGGACCATTCATCGGGTGTCTGTGATGCTGGGTAACTGTGGGGACAGGATGACAGCTCAGGGCAGAGGAGCCCCTCCCTGCAGCAGTGCAGCCATAGGTCATGTTGGTGGTAGAAATCTTCAGGTCTTGGGAGTCCTGCGATCATTCCAGACCAAGGCTCTTCCTGGTGGCAGGTTTGTAGAGAGCAGAAGAAGCAGAGGTTGTAAACAGTCATGCTGACTCTCCCCACCCCCTTTTCTCTTCTTCTTTCCCACTCTAGAACTTTCTGCTGCAACCTACGCCTTGAATTCCTAGGGTGTAAGAAGGTATAGGAGCTGCAGGGTTTTCTGAACACAGAAGGGCCAGCCCAGTACCATCTCTCCACCTTCCCCAGCTTGAGAATATGGCAGCTGCTTCAACTGCCTGGCTTGGGCTAAGAGAGACCAAGTAGAAGGCTCAAAGCAGACTCTTTACTCTCCGCACTTCAAGAAGCCAAAGGAGGGTCATGCTTGGCATTTCAGTTGGGTTTTCCCTAGGAGAGAAGCTGAATTGAGCAGTCACTGTGAACTCTGGGCCAAGCTCTCTGAGAATCGTCTTTTTTGTACTGGCTGAGTCAGCTACTGAGAGTGTCTCATGTCACAGAGCCTTGCCCACCTCTCCTACATGCACCTTCTTCTTCTCTCACAGTTATCATTGCTGCTAATGGTCAAAGTCAAATGTATGGCCACACAAGATGGGCCAGGTCCTCTCAGGCTACTTTCTGGATGTTATTTTTTGAATATTGAAATGTGCAGGTGCCTTCCCAAAAAGGCTTGGACTGGTATATTGAACCAGAAACAAATAAGCTAATGAAAGTATCAGTTCAAGAAAAAAAGATGTTGGCAGTCTGTGTAACAGCTAGAAAACGTATAAGTACCCACCTTTGGGACAACCCAGTGAATATGAACTTGTGATATCTGCTAGTTAAAAGATATGTTGTCACCTTGGGTTGATTGTGGTATACAGTATGTAAAGAAACTTGTTGAGCTAAAGCTTTGACTTCTTTGAGTCGAATATGAATCATTTGCTTTGGTTTCTGTGTATTTCATGACTCCCCCACCCCCTCCGTCAATGCCTTTCCATTCCTCCTCCCCCTAGTGTGAATTTGTAGCATGATTGTACAAACCTCTATGTAGAAAATGGAGATTTCTTGTTCTCTGAAATGTAAGCTCTAGCCAATCGGTCTCTGTCCCCTTTAGCTTAGTGTGTCTGAACTTACTTTCTTGTTATATATTTAAACTTTTTCTCTATACTCTAGGTTTTGTGGCATCCCATGGTCAGGTGGAGAAGAAGCTGCCCCTTGCAGATCTGTACTGTAACCATTTTTCTTTTTGAAATATTATTGCACAGGACTGATTGCACACAGGGCTTGTAATAAAATTTTAACACTGTGCTGTGAAACCACGATGGTAAATCCCCCATCGAAGGCTACTTCAAAGGCGCCTGAAAGTGGGGTGTTATATCTATGGCTTCATTTCTTGTTTCCTGAGTATATTAAACCTAATTTTTGCCCTTTCATTCTGTTTCAGCCTCCTGTATAAGAAGTACCGTATTTTCTGCCCATCATACTTTGTAATAAAACTTGAACATGTATAGATTGACTGAATTTCTTCTTGTGATGAATTCAGTTCTTCCCAGTCTGCCACTGCAGTCATGTTCCAGAGACACTTGCTGGGGGGGATAAACTTCACTCCAAGCCCATCAGTCCATCACTATCTGACAGCCTGACTCGTTACCTTTCACAAAACACAGAGAACCCACTCAGTGCCAGGGAACATGACCCTCAAGATGCTCACACTCTACCAGAGGAGACATCCACATAAATACATACTGGCAGTGTTGTACAGTAACAGTTGTGTTCAGGTTTACTGGTGGCCCCAAAGAATCACCTATGACCGGGTGGGAGCCAGAATGGGTTAGGGCAAACTTCACAAGATGGATGCTTGAACTGGGTTTTGAAGGCTGAATAGGAGTTCTCTGGGAATCAGGAAAGGCATTTAAGGCAGAGAAAATATCTGTGTACCAATCTACAGAGGCGAGAGAATGTGGTCATATTTAGAGAATTACACGCTGATGTGGAGTTTTGTATGGGGAATGGTGGGAAGTGTGGCTAGAGGTAAGCGGGAGCCAGGTCAGACAGAATCTTTTGTTCTGTATAGAAAGTTTAGACCTTACTCCTGTATTTGGAAATTTTACATAGAAATTATGCTCAGGATTGTATTTTAAGAGGCAATGAAGAAAGTGCCTCCGAGGGCAGAATGAGACAAGGAGTCAGTTCACTTGTTAAAGTGAGGAGGGAGGAAAAGCCTGAACTACGGAGCAGCAGGGAAGAGCACAGGGCACAACTGAAGAGAATGTAGAGGTGAGATGATCAGGATTCAGTAATCTATTGGCTGTGAAGGATGACAAGGAAATGGTAACTGCCAGATACTGTGGGTTTAGACGCCAGGCTCCGATGTGATGCCTAGAGTTTCCAAGTCCAAGCCAGTTTCCCAAGCCTGTGCCACTTCCCAACATGGTAGCATGGGAAGGCGCTCCTGTCCCCACTGCTGTTTGAAAGCTATGAGCCCTGGATGAATACTCCCCTCATTTGTTTTTATTGTCGGTCTTTGTTCATGTTAGGCCATTTTGAGGGAAGAGAAGAAAAACAAAATGTGGTTGGTCCAGTGGGCCAGGACTTAGTGTCTGCCATGGTGTCAGAAGACATGGAGCTGGGGGTGGCAGCGGGTCTGTGAAGAGAAGTATGTACTCTGAGGGTTTAAATTTTTTGTGGCCAAATGAGTATCTGCTGGCTCTGTTAGAACTGTGCTATATGATTTGACAACATATTTTATGGGAAATACATGATTCCTACTCTTTGGTTTTTAAGGGGAAAGCTGGGAGAGTAGTGCTGACTGTATTCATCTCAGTAGACTGGGTTGTGCAGTAACAAACCCCCAAATCTCAGAGGCTGAACACGACAAAAGGGCAGGAGATGTTTTTCAGGGTAGGCCTGGAAGTACTTATTTCTGCCCATATCTGCCAAATTTAGTCACATGATTCCAGTCTAATTATAAGGAAGTTCAAAAATGTAGTCTTCCCATGTACCCAGAAAGAGGAAATAGAGTGGTGAATAAATAGGAATGCCTCTGGCACACCATCAAATTAGCAAAGTGCCTGGACTATAACCAACGTCATCTTGTTCACTGAGAGCTGTTAGTATGGACAATGCATACTCAGACCTAATGGAATGATGCCTTCAGCCAGTCTTCAAGGCTCATTGTCAATGACCAATGGTCCTGACAACCAGGTCTCTAGAGATTGTCCAGTCACCTGTGAATTTATCTTGAGACTGTAAATATTTGCTCAGACTGAGAAAGTGAAAAATCTGCCCTGCCTGCCATTCATCACAGTTAAACAGACACAGATAAAAAGCAGCTGCAAAGTTAACAGGAAATAATATTTCTCCCAAACACACACTGCAACTTAAAGTGTCACAACAATTTCCTTCTCTGAGTGACTTTTTAAAATTCACTGACAAATTTTGTTCTCTAAAATCAAACTGTCAAAAAGTTTGCTGTTTGAAATTATGTAAGTAAAAATGAAGCCTTGCCATCTTGCTTGAAGAATCTAAGTCATTTTGATAGAGAAGTGGCCTTGATTTCCAGCCCACATGTACAGCTTCTGAACAAAACATTCCACATTTAACTTTGTAGTTTCCAAGGAAATTGAACCCTGGGCCTGCTTTGCAGTCCAGAGCTGTTATTGGTCCTCTTCTTACAGTTCTGTGTTTCTTTGGGCCTACCAAACTCTATTTCATTGAAATGTCAGCTAACCACCACTCTTCCCCATTATCCTATAATAACTATCTTTTCCTTTGGTGAGACACCCCACATCCCTCTGGTATGGCTTCCCTTGTTACAGTGACTCAGTAAGCCCAACTTTGCTGGACTACAGGTTTGCCCTGATAGACTTAGGCTAAGGCAATCTCGAACTTTGTTTTGGCCTCTAGACTCATTTGTGATTATAAATTCCCTTAATTTGCTTTTTGCTACTCACAATAACATTAAACTATGTATTTTTCCAGTTTTATTAAAATAAAATATAGTTGACATACAACATTGTATTGAAGGTGTAAAGTATATTTTTAAATTATAAAAAGTAATACTATATGTGAATAGCTAGTAAGCTCATGAAAAGATGCGCAACATCATTAGTCACTAGAGAAAAACAAATCGAAACCACAGTGAGACAGTATGTCACGTCCACTAGGATGGCAATGGCTACAGTCAAAAAGTGTTGGCAAGGATGTGGAGAAAATGGAAACCTCATACATTGCTGATGGGAAAGTAAAATGATACAACCATTTTGGAAAACAATCTGGTGGTTCCTCAAAAGTTTAAACAGAGTTTCTATAATGACCCATTGATTCTATTCCTAGGGATATATCCAAGAAAAATGAAAACATGTCCACACAAAAACTTGTACGTGAATACTCATAACAGCATTATTCATGAGTGTCAAAAGGTAGAAACAACCCAAATGTCCATCAACTGAAGAATGAGTAAATAAAATGTGGTATACTAATACAATGGAATATTATTTGGTAATAAAAAGCGATTAAGTACTGATACATGCTGCAACATGGTCGAACCCTGAAAACATGCTAAGTGAAAAAAGCCAGTCGCAAAAGACAACATATTTTATTATTCCATTCATATGAAATGTCCAGAACAGGCAAACCCATAGAAGCAGAAGTAAATTGGTGTTTGCCTAGAACTAGGGAAATTGGGGAGAAATGGGGAGTGACTGCTAGTGGGTATAGTATATCTTTTGGGAATAATTAAAATGTAAAATTGATTGTAGTGAGGGCTGCACAAATCTGTGAATATACTAAAAGCCATTGTATGCTTTAAATTGATGACATATATGTGAATTATATGTCAATAAAATTGTTATTAAAAAATGAAGAACTGGGTACAGGAGTACAATCTGCTCTCAAATAATTTAATATTGTAGCAGAAACAGACAAACATTTTGATATAAAAAAGGTAAGTGCTAAGGTACAGACACACAGAAGGGTTATGTGAGCATTCAGAGTAGGTCATCTGAGTACAACTGGAGAATCTGGAGATCTTTTCCTCCAGTGGGAAATAATGTCTGAGCAGAATCTTGAAGGAAGGACAAAAATGAGCCTGGTGAAATGAGGTGGAACACAGACCAGCAAAAACACAGGAATTGGGAAAAGTACTAGGAGCAAGCTGGTGTTTCTAATCTGCAAAGTACAAGGAGAGAGCTGAGCCCAAGCATCTTGGGTAATACACAACAAAAGAACAATTCATAAGTGAATTATTAGTTACAGCTAAAAATTCATGGTGGACTCAAGGCTTTATGGAGGTGGTGACAGCTGAACTGGGTCTTGAAGCATGGTAAAGATCTTATCAGAGAGACAGAAGCAAAGAGAGTGATGAAGAATTTGTATTCAGAGTACAGTGAGTAATTCCCTCTAACCAGAGTGTAATGTAAGGACAAGAGAATGGAAAAATGAATAGATTTGAGATTATGGAGGTTTTTATATAATAAGTAACAAAATCTGTGCCCATGTACTTTGCATCCATTAACTCATTTAATCCTCACAAAGCCATTCAGCAGGTAAATAAACTGAAATCAAGTAAAGGAACTTGCCCAAGTTTACACTTATAAGTATAACAAATGGGTTCGAACTCATCCAGTTTAACTCCAGAGGCTGCAAACTTAAACTGTCCAGTTTTCTATCACACCAAATCCTCTGGAATTAATCTCACCAGCATGAGGAGCCACTAAAAGGTTTTTCAGCAGTTGCCACTTTGTTTCTTCTCTATGTTCTCCTAATGACCTAGATTTTCTCTCTTGGGAGAGCGGAAAGAAAATGGAGAGGGGTATTTGGCTCCAGATGGCTCTTCTGATCAGCCTCCCTCTCCAGAATGACCTGTTTCATCTGAATCTCAAGTCATCCCTTGCATTTAGGGGCTTCATCATTATGATTGCTGCTTCTATTTAAATGAGTTTCTTACCTTAAAGCTTCCAAGGTCTTATTCTGTGTTTTCAACTTTCCTGTATTGGTAAAGCAAGTATTGAAACTGGAGGGCAACCGAGCCCGGGGCTGGTGCTGCCTGCGCCACTCAGACTAACACACGAGTTGGTACATTTAGGATAAGCGCTTATTGTCAGAGTACGGGTGATGTGAGAAGGCTGCAGGTTAACGCCTTAAAAAAAACTGCCTTCCTTTCTCAGTCTCTTTTAGGGTATTAAAGGGAAAATCTGGGCATTATTGCGGGGACTACGTGATGGTTGGGGGTGGAGAGGTCTGTTGTGCTTCAAAGAGCTGTTTCTCTGGCAACGGTGGTCCTCCCGTGGCTTTAGCACCTCAGGAACAAAGATGGGAGTAAGTCTGGAAAGAATGCTAGACCAGAAGGATTGTGATTAGTAAGCATAAAGGCATTAATCATAAGTTGCAGAGCGACTTTCTATGGCAGGGGACATTCCAAGCTCTGGGTCAAGCCGCTGGGGACACTCTATTGTTAAGCTATAGGGCAAGAAAAAGTGAAGCCAGGGACGCTGTGAGGCTTTTACTGGTAGTGAGGGGTGGGGATGGCGTCTCAACTGGGCCCTTCTTCAGTATCATCCTTTTTGACAGATAGCAAAGAGAAAGTTCAGAGAGACTAAATAATAGGGCAAATCACATCTCTGGGTGGCTATTTCTTTTCCCGTAAAAAGAGGTTGTTTAACTACATATTTCTTTGCAACAAAACATTTATCATTCTGAACCTGCTCAAAGTTGAGAGGCAGTTTGGAAGCAAAATCAGTTTTATAACTCAGATGTATCTCTACTAGATCTCTGTAGGAAATAAAGTCCGGCACGCTCCAGGTCACCGGGAGGCTCCACCTCCGCCAGGTTTTGAGCAGCGGAGAGGAGTGTGTACGCCTGCAGCAGCGGAACGGATTTTGCCGGCAGTGGGGACACGTTTTTACAACGGACCAGGGAAAGGAAGTGTGCTACCCCATTGAAAGGACCCATTCCTGGCTGCCGCGGGGTCAATGCGCGGTCCTTTGAGTTTGGGCTACTCCCGGCGGGCCTGACCCTTTGGGTTACCAGTGACAAGTGAAGGTGACCACAAGCTCACGGACCTGCTTGTTTTGGCAGCGGACGGGACGGGCTGACCTTGGCCCACTGCTCTTTCATTGCTTTTGGTGACCTTGGCCCAGGGTCGGAGCCAATGGCTGCTTGGGCCGCTGTCAGCCTGGGCAGGACCGCCATCCCGTGCTTGCGAGCACTAGGCCCTGGGGCCCGGTTTGCTCTTCCGCACGTCCCCCCAGCCTCTCATACTGACCCTCCCGGGTGCAGCCCCGCTCTGGGCCGGACGCTGCACCTAACCACGGTGGTCCCCGCCGGGCACAACAAGTGGTCCAAAGTCCGGCACATCAAGGGTCCCAAGGACACCGAAAGGAGTCGCATCTTCTCCAAGCTCTGTTTGAGCATCCGCCTAGCGGTTAAAGGTGAGAACCTCACTATCAGCCACCGCTGGCTGCTGTTTCCCCTCTCTGCCTAAGGCCTTGCTTGTCTCCCGGAGCTGGGCTAAGGCCCACCTATAGCCTCGGAGCTGGGCTAAGGCCCACCTATAGCCTCGGCCTTTCATTTTCTTAAAGACAGAGTGAATGAAAAATTTCCTTTGCAAAACACTTCTCCTCCATATCCCATACAAACACTGGATAAAGTGTTCTAAAATACCTGAGAGCTAAGTGGTGACTTGTCACTCTTTTGGGTGGGGGCAGGGCTGGAAATAATGAAATGTCTTAGCTCATAATTTTCTATCTCAGAAGGAGGCCCCAACCCTGAGCTCAACAACAACTTGGCCAACATCTTAGAGGTGTGTCGCAGCAAGCACATGCCCAAGTCAACGATTGAGGCGTCGCTGAAAATGGAGGTGTGTCTTCAATTTGACAACCTTGTTATTGATCACAGCCCCTACAGAGTCCATGTCTGGAAGGCCACCAGACATTCCTTAAGTTATCAAGAAAGGTAGCAATGTGGTTGACACCTTCGATCCAGAGCCTTCTGGTGGCTCTATCTCCATGGCCGTTATGGGAGCACAGTCAGGAATAGGACGAGTAGGCAATGTACAGAACAATAGAGCCTAGGACTGCTTAGCTGAGTTGTGAGGAGATGAGGTAGAAAGAAGGGGCACAGTGTGGGGCAAGCCCCTGATGTTAAATTGAGGAAGGGGTTTGTTTTTTTGCTATTTATGTCTAAAGGAGAAAAGCCAGTAGAGAGAGAGGGTACAGATGATAGTGATGGTGGGAGGGGCAGGGATGTAGAACCCAGGTGTGGGAATTGTCTTTGAGCCCAGGTGAGGGGACTCCTCTTCCTCTGGGCCAAGTGAGGGGGATCTGAGGAAATAATAATCATCTTAATAGCTAATAGTTAGTGAGTGCTTACTCCAGGCCAAGTACTTTGATAAGAACTCTGTATGCATTTATTTTACTAAATCCTCAAAACAAGTAGAAACTGAGCACAGAAAGATTAGGCTACTTGACTAAGTCACACAGAAAATGACATACTTGAAACCATATAGTCGGTCCAGAGCCTGTGCTCTAACCTACGCCTTCATGTTGACCGTGCTGCAGACAAGGTGGTGGAGGCAGAGGATTTTCTCCCACCTGGTGGTCCCTTTCTTCCTTTGTGAAGGCAGCAGGGCAGGGTGCTTGAAGAGAGTGATGAAGGTAGAATGCATGGGCAGGGCATGAGTAGAGGCAGCATGGGAAGTCCAAATGAGATTAGTCATTAGAGTTTTTGATTGAGTGTTTAAATTTTGAGGCCATGCTATTTTCAGTGGCTCTTATGGTAAGGCACAGGTGTGTGAATTCGCATAATCAAGGGATAGGAGCACAGGTAGATTTTGTGTGGGATAGAATGTCTTAGTGGGAGTGGTGGGGGAGGGGTGGAAACAAAGCTGGGAGATGGCTGATTGATTGTTCAGGGACAAGAGAAACAGACTTCTTTCCAAGTAAGTGATAATATTCCAAAAACCTCAAAAGTTGGTCCCATAGGCCTCCTCTCAGAGAGTGGGGACAAGAATAAAGACTTGAGAGTCTAGGCTGCACCCAGAGAGCCCATCTCATGGAGTCAACTTTGTGATGGTGGTGTCTGTGACTCTGGGCTGGCATGCAGGAGGGAAAACAGGAAAACAGGAAAATGTGCTTGTGTGGTTTTTGCAGAAAACGAAGGGCGTTTATTTGTTGTATGAGGGTCGAGGTCCTGGTGGCTCTTCTCTGCTCATTGAGGCATTATCTAACAGTGGCTCCAAGTGCCATTCGGACATCAAACATATCCTGAACAAGAATGGGTAGGTGTGTGTCTGGGGAGAGTGAAAGGGGGTGGAATCTCTAGGTTCTAATTCTGTGTAAGGAAAGTACTGTTGTTCCTGGTGGTTGTTCAGGTTTTACACACATTTCATCCTTAGCAGAATCCAAATGGGATAATCCACTCTTCCTTAATGTGTTCTGTACTGGGAAGGGTCCAAAAGACTTTTTCATCAGGTGTAGAAGGGGCTTCTTTTCCCATTATCCCATCTGTAGCCTTATAATGTCCAGATCTTAAATGTACCAGCAGGACTGGAATCCAAATGGCACAGGAATTGATGAGCAAAGTCTTTGCATCCTCTAGACTTCAATCAGGGCATAAAATAGAGGGTGGGGACATGTCTGGATTATTCCCTTGCCCAATGGTAGCTGCATCTTCTTCAGGAAGAGAGCTGCTCCATGTCTGTGTATATTCCAGAGGCTGGGTGGGACAGACAGTACCGTGCAGTGCTTTGTGGAGGCTGAGTGTCTAAAGGCATTGGTGCTGGCCCATTTCATTTCCTATCAGGGGAATGATGGCTGAAGGAGCTCGCCACTCCTTTGACAAAAAGGGGGTGATCGTAGTTGGAGTGGAGGACAAAGAAAAGAAAGCAGTGGACCTAGAGCGTGCCCTGGAGCTGGCGATTGAAGCAGGAGCTGAAGATGTCAAGGAAACTGAAGATGAAGAGGAAAAGAACATTTTTAAAGTGAGTATGAAGCCGTAGTGTTCGATGGACTTCCGAGAATGTCCTGACAGCCATGCGACGGCATGCCTCTCTTGGTTTCTTTTTTCCTGCACCCAGGGTACAGGTGAGATAAAGAGTTCACATATTGCACAAAACTTTATTAAGCGAATACTAGATAGGACTTACTCTACTGAGGACCACGAGAAGGATTCCAAACACTGAAAACTATATCTCTGCCAGTGAAGGGCTTAAACCCAGTGATACATTACAATAGTTCCATTCAGATTTTGCAATGTTCTGTCCGATTTGTCCTGTTATCTCCTGGCTCCTCATCTCCCGACTTTCTTTTGTCTCTAGTTTATTTGTGATCCCTCTTCACTGCACGAAGTGAGGAAGAAGCTAGACTTCCTGGGCTTGTGTCCTGTGTCCTGTACACTAGAGTTCATCCCCAACACAAAGGTGCAACTGGCTGACCCTGACTTGGAGCTGGCTGCCCACCTCATCCAGGCTCTCGGCAGCCACGAGGACGTGATCCAGGTCTATGACAACATTGAGTAACCAGACTGCACGTGTCTCCCGGCTCCTTCCTAGACAACCGGTAGCTCATTCTGGAGTCCTGGTTTCTGCAGCGTCCTCTAAGACAAAAGCAGGTCAGGGGCCTAGCAAGTTTTGGGGCACAAGACCTGCAGCTTTGTGGCCAAGGGAATTTCCATACTTCTCTGAGGCCTTTTTGTCAGCTCTCTGGTGTCTCAGCCCTCCTGGATGAGTTCCCTCCTTCCTCCTAGATGCAGACTGGGGCCAGTCAGCTGGTCAGACTCTGGTTCCGGGAAGCTGGCCCTTATGGGGATGGTAAGTGTTCTGAGGGCCCACATACTAGAAACTGCTCTTAAATAATAACAGTGGTTGATCTGGGTTGCTGTATTGTTGTATGGCTCTTGAGTTTTTCTGGGTTTGTGTCCAGCTTTTTGGACCCTCTTGACTTCCTTTCAAGACTCTAGGCCTAGTTCTTCTCTTCCAATCCCAGGACTGTTGTTTATGTTTTTTGATTGTCTATAGAAATGTAGCTCCCTCCAAGTACTCTGTGCTCTAAAGATGGTCTAATGGCCTAAACCTGTCATTCATTCATGCAACTAATATTTATCAAACACCTACTATGTACCAGGAACTGTACTTATCAAGAGCACAAGGTTTTCAGTTGATGCCCTTTGTTAGATCCTACTCTGAAATGTGGACCCTCAGAGGAAAGACACAGGACTGATCTCTACTGGAGCTATCCTAGGGCATTGCAAGCTGCTGTGCATGCATCGTTCTCTCCACGTGGCCTCTGTGCCCTTCTTCTGCCAGGGACCTTAAGGCTCTAGCCCAATAGGAAATCAGGTGCTATTGATAAAGGACTGCCAAGTCCTGCTTTGCCCAGGCCTCTGTGTGTTGTGAGATTTGCCCAGATGGACCTGTCAGCAGATTGGGCTGTGCTCAGGAAAGGCTGTACCAAGCTGGTTTTGAAAGCTGCTTGGTCCCCAGAATGCCCAGCCCTAGCTCCTTTTCATCCCTGATGCCAGATGATGGGGCACTGGCAACTGGAGAAGAAACAAGAACAGAAGGAGGGGTGAAAGCTGAGCCAGAAGCCTGGCTACATGGGAAATAGGGCCCTTGATGCCTTTTGCTCCTAAGAGTTACTACTGGGTTTAGAGAGATGAGGAGTGGCAACCACCTGTGCCAGAGCCCATCAAACATGTCGGGCCTGGAGGAGTTTTTGATCCCTGTTATTCACCTACTTATAAGTTGTTTAAGCCAGTTCTGAGATAAAAACAATTTTCCTGAAGAAGCTTTAGGTAAATAAGAATGGAAAAGAAGTAAAACCAAATTAGTTATAAATGATAACTTCAGCTTCTAGGAAAAACAGATTACTAGTTCCACAATGAGTTCAACAGCTGGAAAGTGAAGCCTAGGGGGAGGAAAACCAATGAAATAATCCATGATCCTGCCAAAGGACATGCTGTTATACCTCTATGCTCTTATATCTCATTTCATAATCATGCTACTACTACTCTTTGAGATTCTTCAGGTTTTACAGGAGATAACTCATCCAAATATCTGAATAGCACATCATTAAAATAGGGCAACTTAAAGTTTAAGTGCTGCTTCATAATTTGTAAGATACTTTCATATTTTATTTATCTTATTTCCACACAAAAATAGTTATAAAATAGGCCAGGTATTTATGCCCAAGTAGGTGTGAACAGGTCTAATACTACATCTTGTACTGAGAGACCTTGGTTTTTAAAAGAGCTGTTTTGTAAATGCTGAATATAAATTAATTTGGAGGAACGTGATCATTTTTTAACTAAGGAAGTCCACTCTGGAAGGGAACTTGCCTACTCCTGTGGAGTAGTCTTCTAATCTAATAGAATTTGTTAATATGTATTCTTGTGTAACCAATTTTCTTATGTCAAGGCATACTGGACAGCTCTGCACTGACCCCTGGTGGTGCCTTACAGTCTTTTCTGCAGTTATTATGAGACAGGCAGAAACGAAACCTTACTTGAACCTGCTCTGCCTCTAGATCTGGTAAAGAGACCCTTAGCTATATAGGCTAGTTAAGTAACTATTTAACTGAATCGTTAAATAAAGAGGGTATGAGTTATTCTTTCACTAGATATTATTTTTCAAAGAATATTTTGTCAGCAAATATTTACAGTATAATGTTAAATAGAAAACAAAGATGTAAAACTGTAATAATGTATGGTCCACATTTTAAAATAGCTATCATACCATCATAAAGACTAGAAGGAAGTATACCAAAATGTCAAAACTGGTTATCTCTGGATGATGATGTTCTAACTGAGTTTTATTTTCTATAATCATGTATTACTTTCATCAGGAGAAACTTTTTTTAAAAAAAGAAAACTAGTTGTATTATTGTCCAACTAGGGAGACAGTATGTGAGAGGGTGGAAGTCAGGCATACTTTAAAGTCAAAAGAATGGGATCTGGTCCTGGCTTGCCTTTGTCTTATTTTTGTATTGTCTTAGCAATACAAAATCATTCAGCAGCTTGTAGCTGGCTTGGGTTCACTTTCAGGTGTCATTTCAGTGAGATGGAGGTATCTGTAATAGGCTCTGTCCATAGCCTTGACTCTTACAAGGAGCACTAACGCGGTGTGTACCTGCTCCCCCTCTGCCCGAGGCCCTGGCTGAATCAAACAGGAACAGTGAAGGCTCTGCCTCCAGCCCATTATGGAGATTCAACCATGGGGTTGAATTACTTTTCTGTCTCTGAAACAGTAGTCAATAAAACTTTAAATTCTACGAGACCCCACTTCTAGTCTTATTCAAATCCCCAGAGACTCCTCTGGTGACATTCTGTGAAGAGAAATGAGCCAGTAGGTCTGGCAAAAGAGTGTTATGCCAGCTACACTAGTTTTGACTGAAATTGCCTTCTTTAAGTAAAGTAAAAGTAAAAAAGTTTTTACTTTTTCCTCTTTTTACCTTTCTTTTGTCTATGCAAGAAAGGTAATATTTATTGTTTTTTTTTTAAAGGCATACCTTATCAAAATATATAATAAAAGTCCCACTTCCTAAGATACAACCATCATTAACCATCTATATTATTCTACTCATTGGAACCAATCTGCTGGGGAACAGTTCTGCTATTTGTGAGTAACCTTGGATGAGAACTTAATCTCTGCACTTATTTCTTCAACTATAAAATGGGGACAATAGTACCTATTTCATAGGACTCTTTTGAGAATTAAATAAGTTAATATATGTTAAGCACTTACAGAAGTGCCTGGTGATAGAAAGTGTTCAATAAGTTTTGGCCTTTCCCCCCCCTTCACAATATATCCTGGGCACCTTTTTGGTATTAATATGAAGAAGTCTGCTTCATTCTTTGTAGTAGCCACATAGTATTTTATTGTATTTATTACTGTGCCATACTTTATTTAACTAGTCTTCTATCAAAGGATTGTCTGTCTTACAAAAGATACTGCAGTGAACATTCTTTACCTTTACTCACTTGCAAAGTATTTAGGATACATTTATAGAAGTGGAATTTCAAAATGAAAAGCAATTTTTCTTTAGAAGTAAATATCAATAATATATAAACATTTTCATTGTAAAAAATCTATAATTTGTGTATCATTCCTCAACAATGCAGATAAACTAACATTGAACTGGTAATCTGAATATATTCCACTTTACCCCTGAATTAAAAGAATTTTCATTAAATCAGGTGATAGGTTTGTTGGTTTCTTTTTTTACACTGAATTCATCCAACTGTCCCCTAAGATTGATCATTCATTTGTGTTTATTGTTCCCTGTCAAGTGTCTAAGTGTCCCTATGCTCTTGAAAGAAGGAAAGTATGTAGCCGGTGTCTGATTGGGCTGCTAAATGGGACCAGCACTTTCTGAGGCTCTGCACACTGATTCTTGGGGTTAGATATGGTTCAGGTGCTTAAATAGGAGCATCTACTCAGTGTAAAAACCAGGGGAACAGACTGGAGAAGGCATGGCCCAGCTGGGATGCTTCACAGCAAGAAATGAAGAGTGAGGAAGGAAACAGCATACAGAAGACAAATACATAAAAGGGCACACACACCTGTGGAAATTACATTCACTTGCTAACATCCCCATTTGAGGTTCACTTATTGAACAAATATTTTTTCGAATGTGCTATAGAAGATGGTAGGCATGCCAGTTTGACGCAGCTTCTGTCTTTATGCTTGCTTAAAGGCAATTACAGTAGAGTATGACAAGTGCTTTGATGAAGAAAGTACTAGGTGCTCTGCTATCCAGATTTGGGGGTATCTGGAAAGGTTTCGTGGAGGCAGTGATGTTTAGACTTAGCTCTTCTCTGAAAGAAGGGTGGAGGGCAAGAATGGAAAAGAGTATTCGAAAGAGAGAAAATAGCACATGCAGAGGTATAGAGCCAAGAGTCATGTTTGAGGAACTGCCAGTGGTTCCATGTGGCCAGAGCATAGAATTTGAACGGTGGGGTTGGTAGAGGTAGAAAATAAAAAATCTTGTGGCCAAAGAAGGAATGGCCTTCTTAGCAACATTCACATATTCAATTTATCCTAAGGGCGATGGAAAACTAAAATTTTTAAGCGGAGCATGACAGGATCAGGTGTCTGTTTTGAAAAGATCACCCTGTGATGTGAGCACACATACATAATCTAAGTAAATGACTTTGGTGGTTTGAACTAGGATGGTGCAGCTGGGAATGGGAGAGGAGTGGACAGGTTGGGGCCATGGTCAACATTAGATGAGGGGGAAGGGAATGGAGAGGAAGAGCTCTCCAAGTTAGATAGCTCAAAGGTATCCAACTTGGAGAATGAAGATGGACAATGGAAATACAAAACTAGGAAAAAAATAATTCAATTTGGGCCTGTAGAATTTGAGGTGCCTGTGGGATACTCAAGGGGTGATTGCTCTGGAGCTCAGAAGAAAGTCCAGTATGATAACTACAGCATGGGAACAGTTGAGATGGCTGGTTAAGGGACTGACACAATGGAAATAAAGTCCTCGAAGAAAGCAGTTGCTAGAAAGGTAGAAGGAAAATCAGAAGGCTCTTTTCAGCTAAAGACTTTAGTAGTTGTACTATAGTTCTCTACTATGTGCAAAGTACTATTCTAAGTGCTGGGAATAGGGCAGTGAACAGAACAAAATTCCTGATCCTATACAGCTTATGCTTATTGTAGTTGGAGGAAAGACAAGTAAATATATAAATCAGGCACTATGAAGAAAAATAAGGCAGAATACGGAGATACAAAATGATGGAAGGGACAGAGGCTATTTTGGATGAGGTGGTTAGGAACTCTTAGGAGTTGATTTGAGCAGAGACCTGAAACAGAACCAGGAATTAGCCATCTAGGGGAACATCTAGGGGAAAAGCATTCCAGGCAAAACAAATGGTAAATACCTGAGGTGAAAGGTCTTGAACTTGGTAGGTTCAAAGTTTGGTGAGAAGGCCAGTGTGGCTGGAGGACAGTGATTAAGGGAGAGTGGTAGAGATGAGGTAGGAGAAGATGGTGGGCGCCAGCTCTCATTGGGCCTGGAAAGCCATGACAGAGTTTGGGTTTTATTCTAAATGTGAATGGGAAGTCATTGAACGGTTGACAGCAGGAGAGTGACATGATCTGAATTACATTTTACAAAGATCACTCTGGCTGCTGTGTGGAGAATCATTTGTTGAGTGACCACAGAGGAAACAGGAAGACCAGTTTAGAGGGCTAGAGCAGTCATGTAAGAGAGGGTGGTGGCTTGGACTAGGGTGGTAGTGGTGAGAAGTGGTTTGGTTCAGATAAATTTTGAAACGAGCTGAAAAGACTTGCTGCATGATCGGATATGGGAATGTTAAGGAAACAATAAAATCAAGGAAGACTCTTAGGTTTGTATTTTCAGAATTGGGAAAACAGAGGAGCAGGGTTTTGGGGGCGGGGAGGGGGAAAAAATCAAGCGTTTGGTGTAAAACATGTTAAATGTGTTTTAGATGTTCCAAAACTGTTAAATAGACCTTTGGATACAGGCCATGAGTGGGTATTAGATTTCTACTGGCATAATTGTGTCTTTTAAAAATATTTATCTCAGGCCAACAAAATTAAGGGTCAGATCTGAGCTTCAGATTGGCAGATTATGACCTCCAGCATAAGCCCATTACACTTATTCTTAATAGGGTAATGTCCCCAAAGGAGTGAAAAGTGATTCTTAATGGGTGAAAAAAATCTTTGCTACTCCAATGGTGTGTGGCTTTCATAGCTGACAAAATCTTATTCCTTAGTATTTAATTTCTCTCATGAGGAAGAATTTAAATTTAATTAATTTAAAATTTTCTCTTTGGAGGTTGATAAGCGGTGGGGGGTGGGGGGGGAAGGGTTGAGAAATCTTTCCCAGAAAAAAGAGAGATTATTATAGGAACTACAATAAACTGGGTAGAGATCTAATCAAGAGGGAAAATTACAGACTTAAAAGCTTGTTGGAGGGGAGAAAACTAACAGGACAAAGGGCCTGATAAATATTGGGATGGGGGTGTAGAGTGGAGGCTAAAGTAATTAAGAGATTTGACGCTCAAGGCAAAGCCACCACTAAAGGTTCTTAGTTGACAGGTGAAAAAGGCATCTGAGCAAGATTATCCTGGTTTCTCATATTAGACTGGAACAGGGACCAGAGAAAGGGAGTCCTTATTGTGGTGGACTTGGAATCTGAAGATCTGGATATACAAAATGTTGAACAATGGAGGGTTGGGGAAATTAATTACAGTCACCATCCATTCTGAAATATCATGCAGTCAGTACAATTGTTTTGGAACAATATTCAGTGGCACGGGAAAACATAATAAAATGTACGCACACTACAAAACAATATGAGCCATTTTTTGTCAAACGTGTATCTAAGAGGAAAGTGATAAAATTAACTCTGAGTTGGGATTCCTTCCCCTCCTCCCAATGGCAATACAAAGAGGTTGTATTGCTTTTAGAAACTGGAAAAAAAGTTTTTAAATTTTTTATTTTTTTCCCAAAAGAAGCTTTTTGGCTTTGCTATTTATTGGTTTCGGCCCTGGCCAGTCGCAGAACTCCCAGATTTGTGAGGACCCATATTCCAGTACTACCGCAGCCCCTCGGAGGGTGTGGCCCCGAAGGTATGAGACCCAGGAAAAGGCTGGCAGTGGCGAGGCCGCCTCTACCTCTGGGCAAGCAATAGCGTCTGGACCGGAGGGCCTGCCAAGGGATCCCAAGGCAGAGGTGGCCACACGCTGGGAAGCGCTCAGAGCCAAAACCTTCCCCGCTTATTACGCACCGGGTGTGGCCACATGAAGGGGCAAGACGGGGGCCTCAGAGACAACTCGGACCGCAGAGAGTCCGGAGGGCAGGAGGCCGGGGGTCGCTTCCAGCCGCCTTCCCAGATTCCAGCCCTAAGGTAGCCAGTAGGGAACCGCGCCAGCCCGCGCGCCGGGGGAGCTTCTGGTTGACTGACGGGAGGTGGGAATGTGGGCGGAGCCTCGCGCGTGAGCTGTGATTGGAGCAACCAACACCTCCCGGGGAGAGAAGGGGCGAACCAGTGAGGGATGTGCAGAGGCGGGTGCTCAGAGTCCTCTACGTGATTGGTTATTAGCGGAGTGAATCGGGAGCAGTTTTAATGATTGGCAGGCGATAGACAGCTGTCGGAAACCGCCTTGGCTTCGCCCATTGGCATCCCGCAAGAGTAGGCGGGATTGGTCTATGGTGTGGTGCCTATGATTAGCTGGCAGCTGAGAGGGTGTTGGGGAGACAGCGGTGGAGGGGGTGTTGGCGGGGGCAGCGACTTCCTCATTCTTATTGGCTGGTGAAATGAGTGGGGGTGGTGCGAAGGCCCAGCACAGCCTTTGGATTGGTGGGCGCTGGGCTGAGTGACAGGCAAAGGGTGAGCTGCGCGACCAGCGGTTTGTTTTTCGGAGCGTTCCTGAGGTGGAGAACGGTGGCCGGACGGAACGACTGAGGGACTGAGGGACTGAGAGACTGGCGCGCGGGCGGGCCGGCGGCGCCGC